AAGGCTCTTCAATGCTATACTAAAGTTGACCACAATCCCCTTCTTCATTCACAGCTATAGAGATAGCTGATGAATCCCCCTCATAGAGATCCTGGGACCCCATAGCCTCCCCAGTAGTCTTCCCCTCTCCTGCAGGTTCCCCTCCCCAAAGCCCTATCACTTCCCCTTCAAATCCTCCCCGCAATGAAGCCAGCTTCCTAAGTCTCATACACTGAATTGCTGGAATGAGAGGACCCAAATTCCACTGCCCTTGTCACCTCAGATAACACATTTTAGGAGCACCAAGTTACAGAGATGACAAATGGCCAAGCAGCAGACAAATATTCCCCTTCTATAGATTTCAAAAAGCTATAAGGCCTTTGTTTGTTCTGTGTATTGTCTTGTCTACATGTGTTTGTGTATCAAAACCAACATATAGAGCACTCATAAACTAGAATTAAAAATGTGGATCCAAATACTTTTGATTCACAAAGGTTCAATTTAAATTGGGTAAATAAATAAAAATGTTAATGTCTTTAAAATCACTAACCCACAAGCTTTTTTTTTCCCAGAGGATCAGACAATGAAGGATGTTGTTTTCTATAAAATGTTTAAAGTTGCGAGTTCAAAGCCAGCCTCAGCAACAGTGAGGTGCTAAGCAGCTCAGTGAGACCCTGTCTCTAAACAAAAAATACAAAAAAAAGGGCTGGGGTGTGATTCCGTGGTTAAGTGCCCCTGGGTTCAATCCCCAGTACCAAAAAAAAAATGTTTAAAGTGTAATGTCCATTGCTTCTAGGATTTTCCTTCAACAGAAAAGGATGATTTGAATTTTAATGTACTGATATGAAGCAAAGTGTGAAACATTGATCTGCTCTTATCTATTGATAATTTTCTTTTATTTGTTAGGTTTTATTACTTGGGGAAACTAAGTCTTAAAGGAATTAGGGTATATACCTATTTTAAGGTCTTAAATAATTACTTTGTAACTGGTTAAATAAACAGATATTATTTAGGTTATAACAATATAATTGACCCCAAAATATATGTGACTAGGTATATTTATGCATCTGAGAACTACATCTGTCTAAGTCTTATCTAAGTGTTATGTAAAGGTTTATAAAGTGAAAATTTATATAAGTTTACCAGCAAGATAACCATTAAGTTATCTCTTTTGTGCATGGTCATAAAAGGGTCACACTGTCATTTAAAGATATGTCTTATATTGGTTTATTTTGACTAAGTCAATTTCTGATTATTAACACAGTTTCCTAAATGTATGAGATTTAATGCTATCCTTTGATTTTTGTTAACCTATGTAGACCTATGCATTCTAAATTATACTTTAAAAGGTAAACTTAGTTAAATGTAAAGCTTAGGAGAGCACTTTGTCACATTGGTGTTCTCCAAACTAAAATTATCTGTAGCAAGAGTCTCACATTTGTGTAGAATAACAAATTAAATTGGTATGTATTCATATCTTCTAATGTTTTATAGCTGGATAAATTAACCTGTTGTCAATAAGTTATATATACAATTTTATGTTACTCTTCACACTAGAATTGGAATTTAAATGTACTTTTGAAAGATAATGAGGAGAATATGATCTATTTAAAGGTAATATCATAAAACATAAAACATTTTGCCACTTAACCACACAAAAGGAAAGTTAAAAGCTCTCAACCTTTCTCTGATTAATGTTTTAAATATGTTATATTATGTTAACTAATGTTCATATAAACTCAGGAAAAATATATACAAACTTTATAAAATGACATTTAATAAAGAGACAAAGATCAATTTCAGAACTGGAACACTTAAACTAAAATTTACCAAGAGCCCCACCTCACATAAATTAAGACCCTGTCTCTCATGTTACTGCTCCATGTTAAGATAATCTCAAAGTAGATAAATTTAAGATAATTTAAAGTTATGTTCAAATGGTAAATTTTTGTTATAAAGATAACTGTGATTTCAAAATAAACAAGGGACATAATACAAAATTACATAAAGATTTTGATAAAGTATAAAAGGTATTTATGGTTGTAAGAGATTTAAAAAGAAAATAAACTGTGAAGGATTTCATAAGTAATTAAGTTCATAAATTATTTTGTCTTTTTAGGGACTAAATAGATATCAAATATACATTAGTACTATTATAGAAATTACATTTCTTGGTTCAAAGTCATTATACAAACTGAATATGTTGTTACTCTTATTGACTTCATTTTATATTTTCCTGTAAACTTCATAGCTGTTGCCTGTTAATGTTCTACAGAGGTACTGCTTAAAGAACACACACAGCCTGGGTTAATTTAAGATAATAAGCCATCATCTACTGGACAAATAGGATATAAAGCTAACTTCTAATACATACCCCAATTAAATACAATGGGTAAATGACTGTAAGGTTATGAACATTGACGTTAAAGCCCAGCACTTTTACTTTAAGACTGGTGAGACAGACTTGCTAGATGTTTAAAACCAAGGCTTAAAGATTAAAGTTAAAATAAAAGGGCCAAGAAAACCAATATTTGGCTCTAACTCTGAGTCAGCCTGAACCTAGGGAACGAGAGAACTTCTCTAAGGAGATTTCCAACTCTAGGCCACATGAATTCCTGATCAGGGAGATCAATGGGACCACTGGAAAATGGAAAGCCAATCCATGCACCTGCTACAAAAGGGGAAGGTCATTTGAGAAGAGAGACATCCCTGTTGCTTCCAAGGGAAGCCACCTCATCAAGGAGACCCTAGTAGATGGCACTAAAAGAGCTAAGAAGTTACTCTCAAGTTCCCCAAGAGTAACCCCTGAGGGAACTCAGCTGACTCTTAACTGCAGATAATTTTTGACCAACTTGGTCTTAAACACCTGGCAAGAGAGTATAACCAAAACACAGCCACACATGGACATTTAGAAAAACAAAACAAACAAACAAACAAAAAACCAATAGTTTTTTTTTTAAAATAAAACTTAAGATGTACACTTATTTCAGTCCCACAGCCCTGATGCTCCCAAACTCCTGAGGTGTATTCTTTAAAGTGGCTCATAAATTGGCCTCTATACCTTAATTTTCTTTACTTCTCAAACTGACATTTAACCCCACAACCAAAGTCTACTCATTCCAATAACAGCACACACCAGACATAGGAGATCCCCCTCATCGGGCCTTCACTAATGATTCTCTTAGTAATTCTTATAGGTCCTTGCATTTTCAGTTGCCACCAACATTTCCCAATGGACCAGATAAAGATCTTCACCACTTCCTCATGTAATTCCTCAGGACCACTTTATTCCAATGTCTCCTACTTTGCTGCATCCTCCCCACCCTATGTTTCTATTCCACAATTCTATCTAATAGTTCCTTATGCAATACAACTTACAATATCACTCAGGCACTTCAGAGCCAACCTGGCATCTTCTTCCTCTGTGGAAGCTCCATTCTTCACTGCCTGACAATCCCTATTCCCACTTTCTGCCTCCCTGTCCTCCTTACACCTGATATCACCATACACTATGAGGGGGGGTTGAACTGTCCCTTTTCTGTCCTTCCTGGACTTCACTTCAACATCCCAGATGCAAAAGAACAATCTTCAACCCAGTCCTCATTGGATCAAGCATATTGGCAGAAGCTGGCACAGGGGTAGTAGAAATTGGTACAGCCACCCATCTTTATCATAAACTCTCCCAAGAATTGAATGAGGACTTTAAGCAGGTGGCAGACTTCCTAGGATCTCTTCAAATCCAAGTCACTTCTTTAGCCAATGTAGTTTTCCAAAATAGGAGAGCCATTGATTTACTAACTGCAGAGAAGGGAGGCACTTGTGTCTTTTTAGAAGAGGAATGCTATTATTTAGCCAACAAATCCAGAATAGTCCAAGGAAAAATAGCTGAGTTCCAGGAGAGCATTAAGAAGCGCCACCAGGAGCAGCAGCAGTCATCTCCCTGGAACCTTTTGTGTCAGATTCTCCTCTGGCTGCTCCCATTGATGGTCCCTCTCCTTATATTCATCATAGTGCTCTTAATAAGACCTTGTCAGGTAAAATGCCTGAAAACTTTTTTACAAGATTTGTTAGGGTCCGTAAACAAGTCAAGATGGCGCCTGGCACTTTGCCAAGAGGAGTGGTTTGAGAAGTAACACCAGTGAGCCATTAAGATGATAGAGATTCCTTAATGACTGACTGCTGTGTCTAGATTACGTCAATTAAGTTAAGCTGTGTGTAATCATTAAGATGATGAGGATTTCTTATTGGTTGACTGCTGTATCTAGTTTATGTTGATTGAGTTAAGCTGTGTGTAATTAAGATGATGAGGATTCCTTGATGACTGATTGATGTATCTAGATGTTAATTGAAACAAGCTGTGAATTCAGTTATGTATATATACCCTTGCTGTCCTACAATAAAGGGGCTCCCGCTGTATCAACCTTCACAAGTTCCTTGTCACTCGCCCCCCAGTTATTTTGCCCAGCCAGACTGCGGCAAATGGTGGCCCGTCGGGGGAGCCCCGGGACGCTCGGGGGTAAGTGACGAGGAAAAGCTGCCCGTCCCTAGAATAGATAGGACGGGAGCAAATCTCCTTTCTCTGGAGGCAGACAGGGCAAGAGGAAAAATGGCCATTTCGAGAAAATGGAGAAGATTGATACAGTGTGTTATCTTGTTTTGTCTTGGTGTGTTGTATTGTCTTTGTGACGAAAATATGGAAGGGGTGTTAAGTAAATTGCGAAGGAAAAGAGGCACCCCAGTGGAACCAAGAATAGTTAGGGCATACTTTGATAAGGGCCCAGGAACTCTAGTCAGGAAGAGGAAGAAGGTTCAGAGGAGGAAGGACTATCAAGAAAGGAATTGCAAAAGGCTACTACTGAATACTTTTCCTTACTGGAGGATGCATTAAGCGACACGGCGGCTGCCGAGTGTGCGAGCTGGTCATAGCGTAGCAGGGACTTTCCAAGCAGTGGCGGCGGCCACCCTTCCCCACCCCCCCGCCTGGGGAGCAGGACACCACTGCTGCAAGCCCAAATGCAGACCTGACCCCGAGGCACAGTCTTGTAGGCTCTTGCTCCCTGTGCCGGGTGGCAGTTTGAGTCCGGGACACTCTCCGGGGTCGTCCGGGGCTGCCTGGGGACGCTACAGCTGGCGGCGGAGGACACATCCAGTGCCCCTGAAGTTTGGTCATTTCCAATAACTACAATGGTTCTCTCACACCTGGAGGCTGATGAATAATGAGCACCATTAAGGCCTATTTCAAATGTAAAAAACCTTGAAATAATGTACTAAATTGTTCAGAAGTTTGTTTTCTTAGTGCCTGCTGGAATACTACAGGATTTTCTTTAGCCATCATTGCCAGAGTTCCTGCCTTCGTCCCAGTGCCAGTGAGCACGGGGGTGGAGGAATTTCCAGTGTTGCTGAGAAACAGACAAGACTTCGGATCAAGCTAGCTGCCTGCAGAACTGGACTGTGATTTAATTACCTGGACTGTGAACTTACCTGGACTGTGAACTTACCTGGACTGTGATTTACCTGGACTATGTGTTACTTATATGCATTGTGAACTATCTGTTGATGCAACGAATTGTGGTAGTACCGGGGTATCTTTGCTGGTGGTGTCATCTGTGGTACAATTTTTCCAAGGGCTTCTTACTTGGAGCCATCAATTGGCTTGGTATCATGGCATTTTGTATCCTCCCCTTCTGCTTGTAGCAGGTTATCCACAAGTGTGGCTGAGTGTGTTGGGCCGGTAGTCAAAGACGGGTAAGATCCAATTACAATGGTACCAACCTAAGACAGGAGGCTAACTATTTGAGGTCAGACCATCCAATGACGGGTAAGGACCATATGTAGTATTGGACAACCTAAAACAGGCACGGTCCCTAAGCCACATACTTGTTATTTAAATTAAACAAAAGGGGGAGGTGTTAGGGTCCATAAACAAGTTAAGATGGTGCCTGGCACTTTGCCAAGAGGAGTGGTTTGAGAAGTAAAGCCAGTGAGCCATTAAGATGATAGAGATTCCTTAATGATTGACTGCTGTGTCTATATTATGTCAATTAAGTTAAGCTGTGTGTAATCATTAAGATGATGAGGATTCCTTATTGGTTGACTGCTGTATCTAGTTTATGTTGATTGAGTTAAGCTGTGTGTAATTAAGATGGTGAGGATTCCTTGATGACTGATTGATGTATCTAGATGTTAATTGAAACAAGCTGTGAATTCAGTTATGTATATATACCCTTGCTGTCCTACAATAAAGCAGCTCCTGCTGTATCAACCTTCACAAGTTGCTTGTCACTCACCCCCCCCCCCCCCGGTTATTTTGCCCAGCCAGACTGTGGCAAAGATTGAGTAAAGGCACTCACTAATCAGACTGTAAACCAGCTCTGTATGAATCAACATAGCCCCATTCCCAAAATTCTGGCCTAAACCCTTCTTCACCCCCATTCAGCTCAAAGAAGAATGAACAACACCCATTATCATTATAAGACAAAAGGCCAAAATTTAGGTCCCTAGATATTAGTAACTCCATTTTGGTTCTGAGACTCCATCTTGACCTGAAACCAAAACTTATAAATTGCCAAGAAAAAGAAACTTGAGATACCCTGTTCCCATAACCCCCCAAGGTCCCTAAGCACAAGAAAAACCTGTTGTTACCCAACCACCTGTATCCAAAGTCAATTCTAGCTTGCTCCTTGTCCAAAAGATATATAAGCTTCCATTCAAGTGACACTGGCTGCTGCACTTTGCAGAAGGGCAGCCTGGCAGATATTCTCTGTCAATAAACCTTTGCTTGAACTCAGAGCTGTGTCTCTCATGGATATTTGCACCAGCTACTGTGACACTATGTCTCTCTGGTTTTGTTTACTGTCCAATATTGAATTTCAGTGAGTTTCTTAGTTATCCACCTTTCTGAGGTGTTTCCATCCCTTTTTCAAATCTTAAGGAAAGGAAATGCTGGAAAGCACAGCCTTCCTCTAATCTGCCATCTTCTCTCTCTGCCTCTAACTTGATAAGATTTCAGAGGGTCTATGTGGGGATCATGGATTTTGTGTCTTCAGAACCACTTTTCTTCACACTTGTCTGAGTGACCTATGTAACTGTCCTGAGAGATAGCTGGTAATCAAGTTAAACATTTGGAGATGATATGACTTATTCTACAGGGAGGAGTCAGAAGGGAATGACTTGAAGATATTGTCATCGTGTGATTTCCCTAGTTGTTAATCTATACCTATGAAGTAAAGAACAGGAGTTAAAACTGTGTCCAATAATGCAACTTACCTCTTAGAATGATTACAGCTCCAATATTCCATGGATTTACCCAAGGCTGTAGAATGGAAGGTGGGCACTCATTTGTGCCCTATAGTGAAGTCACAGGGTCATTGATGCTCCTCCTAGTCTCTGCAATATGTAAGGAGAAACTAAATCAACCACCTGCAAAAAAAGTTCATGTGTATTTTCACAGGAAAGATTTTTAAAAGGAAAAGGAAAATCACAAACACAAATCCCACCTGTTTATCAAAACCATTACCTTTAGCATATTTAGTTTTAGAAGTATTGCCTGCCCAGTGACATATGTTTAATAGTCATAGTTTCCAAATTATGCAAAAGTAGTATGATTATTTGTTTTCTAAATAGATACTCATATAAATTGATTTAGGATTGGCTTTGAACTGGTATGCCTCTGTCTCTGACAATGTTTGAATAATGCCAATGAGTACAGATGAGGTCTCAAATGCATTCCTCTAGTTCTCAAGTCATGAGTTAACTCCAAACACCATAGCTTCAACATCTTGTGGGGAAGGAAGGTCTGCAATGTTTACTTTAAGTTCAGTACAGCAGGGCGGGTGTAGGAGCAGTGGCAGTGGATCCCCATAAGAGGCATTTTTTTGATCCTTTCTCCTGTCACCAACCTAGTTAATACCCACTAGCCATTTCTGCCATGACACTGTTTTATCCAGTTACCCTCCCAAATCCTTCTCCACATCTCACACAGTCATGCATCATTACCATAATGACATTAAATAACATGCTCAAGTACTTCAAATGTATATTCAGGGGCTGGGGATGTAACTCAGTGGTAAAGCACTAGCATAACATGTATGAAGTCCTGGGTTCAATCCCTAGCATCACACATAAAAATACATGTTCAGCTCCTACCAACATCAAGTCCTTTCTTCTCTAAGGGACTCCAAGCAACAACTTCAAAGTTTCTCAAACTTCATGTTGCATACCAGTAGAACTTGGAATATGTTTTGGTTCTGCATTCCCTGTTGTCTATATCACTTTCCCTTGCTTTAGGAAAGAGGCTAACAGGAAACTTCTCTAAGGCATGTACAACTAAGGGTTTTGTCTGCTCAACTCCAAGAAACCAGTGTGAGATAAGATAGAAAACCTGAATGAATCTTCACAGTGCTTAGATTTCCTCCCAGGACCCGTCAGGACAATTCTTCATAACAGTAGCTCAAGGAGAGAGCCCCAGTGTTCTCTCACATCCCTCCTTCCATCCTGGCAATGATGACTAGAAATACACAGTTATTTCTTGGCCCATGTCAGGCCTCACTATACCAGATCCTGGTACTAAGTAATTTAGATGAAAATTATTAGTTCAGGGTTTACTTTTGACTTTGTGGGGCTTCAGAGAGTATTAATTGATTCAAACAATTTACTGGCTTTTCTCTAAATCAACATTATAAATAATAAGGACATTTTAATGAACAGTCCCCCAAAACAACCCTTTACCCCAATCCTATGGGTAATAGTCAATGCAATGAGATTTACTTTGCTTCATTTCACAGAGCAGTGCTTCTAAAATACTAATGGTCTCATAGCAAATGTTAAGAGTGTTCTTCTTTTCCTTTCATCCTAGTATATTCCAATTTATTAATTTGTCCAGGTTCTACCTCTATTACAATTTATAGGTGAGAGGACATTAATTAGTAAAATCAACAAGATAAAAATACTCTTATGAGGCTGATAAAATTGGACACTAAACAATCAGAAAGAGACAATATAAGCAAGAAAATTATAGTACATGTTTAAATGTAAATGTAAAAATTACAAATAAAACATTATCAACCTGAACTAACCAATGCATAATCACAAAATATTTGTTCCTAAAATGAAAGGATAGCAAAATATTAGTAAAAAATCAATCAAACTTCTAATAATGCCTGAAAAAAATGAATACAAATGCTTCATTTCTCCTTTCAGAAAAGTGCTGATAAAGAAGTAAAGGGGTAAAATAGGGTCTGGAAGCCAAGAAAAATATGTGAGTAAAATTTCAGGAGCTAGAAAACAGGTGGATGAACTATAAGCCCTTAGACAGCCACAAAGAATGAAAACTAATCTTATAGGAAACAAATTAAAAACTCTGGAATTGGAGATATCAAGTTATATCCAAGGCAGAGATTGAAGAGTATACATAATTACTGGATGATTCAAGGAAAACATCAAAAAAGCAATTACCTCTCTACTGTCCTCCACCCTAAATAGTCAGAATTCCTATCTCAGCCTCAACATGAACTTAAGTTTTCTTCACATCCTCATTATACTCTGCTAGTGCCTATAACATCCATTGCACCTCAGTTGTTCTTCCATTCTGTGGTTACTGGGGTTGCATAAAGTTGTCAAATACTCATTTAAAAAATCAACTTGATAGGCTGGGGTTGTGGCTCAGTGATAGAACACTTGCCTCGAACATGTGAGTCACTGGGTTCCATCCTCAGCACCACATAAAAATAAATAAATAATGATTAAAAAATCAACTTGCCGAAATAAGACCATAACATGTTATACCTTTTCTTCTCAAGACTAGCAGGTAGCTAATATAACAATAGGACTGAAGACTAAGAACAGGGTAGGTATGGGAAATACCAGGCACCTGGAAAAACCACCCAATGTTTTAACAGCTAAACTCCTCTGAAGATAACTGGAAAACCTGTTGCTATCTTCTTGTGGAAAATTTGAATCTTTTCCCTCTACTTCTTCAGAATTGTTCCATTTATCTGAGTGAAACCCATATTTGATCATTCAACTTCAGCTTAAATAATTTACTATGACTGCACCTAACTTAATGAAGCAGAATATTATGGGGACCTTAGGGCAATCTTTTCTCTTGCCACAAATTTGAGCGTGCACACTGAACTATATCCCTATCTCTCTGCCAAGGGTGTACATATATCCCTATCTCTGCCAAGGATGTGTATAATTATAAAAATAATCAATGTACGTTTTTATGGACATCTTTAGAGAGACAAAGGAGGGAAATCTCTGGCACACTGCAGAATAAAACCTCATCAAACTTGCTTCATTAGACTGTCTAATCTCCATTCCTGGCAAAATGTTTGTACTATTTTATATCTCCATTTAACCAATACTTATTGAGGTTCTACTATGTTCTAGGCAATACTCTGGACTCTGTGGGCATAACCTTGAAGAAATCAGATAAATATGCATATCTCCATTCCCAAAAGCTAAATGGGTGTTCCAAGGTGCCCTCCTGGAAACAGGCTCTGAGATTAAACTTACTACACTGGATGTTTATTATGAAGTTTCGTTGGGATCAACATTCATAGGTAAGAGTGGGCAGATTGATTGAACTAAGAAAAAAGTCAGTCTGCAATGCAGGTCTATTGACAATTTTTGCCAACACCATTTGAAGTTTAGGAGCTAAAATGTCCTACTAGACTTGTCAAGTATTAGACCTAAGTGGCTGAGCCTTTATATACTACTTCCTTCAGTCACATAGATAGAGCATAATCATTGGCAATATAGCTTTCTGCAGCAGAGTTAGCCCTGAAAACACAACAAATGAGGGAAGTCTGTTGACATCAATGCCAGCAGGTGGGCAACAAGTCATTCACTGAGGAAAAATATAGGTAACACACATACGTTGTCCCTCATAGCTTACCTTTGCTGTGATTGGATTCATGTTTCCACATAACATTCAAGTATCAGCTTCTCTAGGATCTGTTTGGTTTGAATTACTAAGGAAACTTAGAAGAAGATAAATACTAGCCAATACCATTGTACCTGGCCTTGTGGCCACAGCTAGTATTTAACTATTTCTTGCACAATTCACTATACAATCATTTCACCTTCAGTTCCTAAGCCTTAAGACTTAAAGGTTGTCTTAGTGATTTATATGGAATTATCCATACCCTCATCCCTGGTCATCTTACCCTTCCCTGGCCTATCTTGCTACCTTGTCCTTTTACTGACAATGCTGGGCAGAAGAGTATCAAGAAAAATTTAATAGATCACCTAAGAGTCATACTTATTTCTCCCTCTTCCAATGAATGACAGCATCCTTTCTTCTTGTGAAAATCAGAGTCAGTTACCCCTGGCAGGATGGTGACTCCTTCCTTATGCTGGATAGTTCATGAGCACAACGAAGACAGAAATTGAATATCAAAGTGAAATCATGTGATGTGTCTTCTGTGCCTGACTTATTTCACTTAACATAATTATTTCTAGTTCCATTCACAGTGTTCCAAATGACAGGATTTCATTCTTTTTATGACTGAACAGTATTCTACTCTGTTTATGTACCATATCTTCTTTATCCATGCATCCATTCATGGATACTTAGGTTGGCTTGTATCATGGTTGTTGTGAATTATACTGCAATAAATGTGGAGAGTAGATATCTCTTTGACATCAATATCATTTGTTCATTAGAATTGTTTTTGAAAATATCTTTGAATTCCTCCGAGATTCTAGAGCTGTGTCCTGTTCAGGTATGAAGTCATCCGTATTATTCTGTTAAGCAATATAGGATTTTTTTTTGTTTTGTTGTTATGATATAGTCAAGGGCTTCAAGACTTATATATCCAACCACATGGCCCTACCAAGATTCTTTATAGTATCCACAAACAACACAGTTAAAATAGCTTTTACCTTTTGGGCCTCAAACAAAACCTTGTCTTTCCCTCACTTTCTCATCTCAACAAACTTCCCTGTCTCAATTGCAAAGGTACACATTCCAAGAGATACACTTGATTCATTTCTATCATTTACCACAAACATCTACTTCATCAGCAAGCTCAGCACTCCCAGGTTTATTCCCTTCTCATGTTCTACATTGCAAACATTTATACATTGGCACTATATCTGCTTACCTGCATGACTGCAGTGGTTGCTGTTATAGTCTGGTTGTGGAATGTCCCCCAAGTCTCATATATTATAGGCTTGGTTGCCAGCCTGTGGCACTATTGAGATACAGTGTAACCTTTAGAATGTGAGGCTTAGTAGAAAGAAGTTAGGTCATTGGAAGCATGCTCTGGAAGAGAATTTGGGACCTTGGCTCCTCTCTCCCTCTCTCCTTCCCCCTCCTTTCTCTCTTGCTTCCTGGCTGCCATGAAGTGAGCAACTTTGTTCTACCATACACTTCCTGCCATCATGATCTGTCTTGCCATAGGCCCAAAGCAATCAGTCCAAGAGCCCATGGGATGAAACTACTGAAAACATGAGGCAAAATAAATCT